AACAAAAACTGCTCCCAAACTGCCAACAAAACGGATGTGACGCTAGCGAGGCAATATATCTGACCGTCTGCGATACAGAATTAAAGCCTATTTAAAAACACACCGCCCCCATCCCCCTTTATTAATTTAGCTGCAAGCCCAAGTGCGCTCACCTCTGAGGTTATCGCAGATATCCAGTGTTTCATATGAGTGGACAGGTCGTTTAAAGCAGTGGTTCTTAACCAGGGGCCAAGGGCCTACTTAAAAGCCTCAGCAAATTTCAAAGGGGGCCTCAAAATGATTTCAAATGATATTAAATAAGACAAAACAAGCTTTAAAATATGCAAAAACAACTAAAAATCAAGATATTTCTTATTTTAATTCACCTACTCAACAACAGTATCCTTTGAAAAACAGGGAGACCTGGAAAAATGTTTGGAAAATAATTAAAATCATAAAAAAAACTGTGGGCATTTTAAAAAACAAATATATTTTAACTGAACTATGCCATTTTATAATTATGCTAAGCTCTAAAATATTTTATCGGGAAGAAATTATGAATAAGTCCTTATTCTTAATCCATATCCATTAAATAACGAATAACTGACTAAGTCATGTAAATAAATGCATTGGTTAAAAAGAGTGAGGTAGTTGAAGAACAGCACTTGAAAACAATGCTTTAGTATTACAGAAAAATTATTTGTGGGAAAAGGAGTTACAAAGATCGAGAACCACTGAATTAAATCATCACAAATTCGCATCAAGACATTCTAAACCTGTATGACTTTCTTTCTTCTGTCAAACATAATGAAAGTCAATGGGGTCCAAAACACATATTTTATTATATGCACAAAAAAACATTTGAAATATCTTTGTTCAGCAGAAGAAAGTTAGTCATGCAAGTTTGAAACAACATGAGGGTGATTAAATAATGAAAGGATTTTCATTTTAGATTAACGATCCCAAAAATGGGGTTTTGGAAAACTTGAAAATAAAATGCTCAAAAGACCAAGAACAAAATGGTTGGTCAAATTAAATAAAAATAAAATGTTGGCACAACAGTGATCTGTTTTAATTTGAAGTAAATAGGCTATGTTCTGTCTGTATCCAATGTAAACAAAAATAAAAATAAAAGCTTCAAATGACCAAGTCAAACACGACACAGCATCTCATTTATTCTGGGCTTTGGTCTTGTATCAATAGATACACAATCAGTAACAACCTCAAACCCAATACAGCATATGACCTTCAGTGTCCTAGGAAAACTTCTTTTCGACTCAAACAACCTTATTATGAGCATCTTTAGTTTGAGACTTTAATAACTCGTAACATCCTCTATAGTTATCACTAAACAAAAGCATAGACACTGGCGAACAGAGCAGGGCACAGAAACTTCTCTATCGATTTCTGTCCGAGAAACTCTCTAATGGTTCTTCGGCATAAAAAAAAATGCCTCGCAGTGACCAGCTTGATCAATGTGGCTGGCGCACAATAATTCATTACCCTCTCGGTCGGACGAGTGCTCCACATTCTTCAAGGCTTGTATTATACTCTTAAGCCATGTTAACTCCTGCTGCTCTTTTCTTTCATTAGTGACGACATACTTTCATTACTCCCTCCACGGCAACCGGACTGGTAGGATGCATCCGCGTGCTGGTCCGAAGCGGAATGGCCTTTATGATGGCATAATTGGTTATTGGGTAAGGTTGGTGATATGACTGTAGAGCTGCTCAGAGAAGGCCTGCAGCGAAAAGTGCTTCTGTACCCGCGCTCTACCAGCCTGTCCCATACGCTGCTTGAGTTTAGGGTCTGAAACAAACTTCTGCATTGCCTCGGAGAAGCACTCAGGGGTGGGTTCGCAGAGGAAGCCTGTTTCGTCATGGGCCACAGACTCTAACGGTCCACCCGAGTTAACTGCAATAACGGGGCAACGTGAGTACATGGCTTCAATGGGTACAATGCCAAAGTGTTCATTGCTGGGGGTGTACAGTACACAAGTGCTGCTGTGCAGCAAAGACAGCTTCTGTTTGTCTGAAAAAGAGCGCAGGAATGTGACATGGTCCTCCAGGCCAAGAGAGGCCACTAGTGAGCGCAGCTCTTCGTAGTGCTCGACATTCTCGACCACGCGTTCATCGTAACCCCCCGCCATCACAAGGTGCACACGCTCCCATTCCCCCGTAGACAGACGCTCCTTCAGGGACGCTAACGCTTGCAGCGCCAACGGCAGGTTCTTCTTGCGTTCGTAGCGGTTGATTGACAGAAAGAGGAAGCTTCGCCCTTCAGGGAGCAGCCCGCTGAGATCCTCCACTTCATCATTGAAAGCTGCAGAGTTCAGAGAGGGATAGAGGACGTCGGTGTGGATCTCAGCTAATTTGGGGAACGTCTGTTTGAAGACTTCCGCTGTGAACTGGCTGTTGACCAAAATTCGATCGGCCATGCCTGTGGTCAGTTCCTCAAACCAGTCGATGGGGCCGCGATATAGCCGCTTTAGAGCAGAGCGACGCTGAGTCAGTAGTTGGTCAGGGAAATGACAGTAGAATAGGATTTTCTTCCTGGGACGTGCCAAACGCAAAAAGGGAATACATGCTGAAACCTGGAAATAGGAGATAAAATTAAACCTGCTAGTTTTGAAGATTTAGTCCTGGTAGTCTCCAAAGACTTTAGAGACTTAATACTTTAATATGCACTCATATTACTTATGAATGGGAGAATAGTGCCGCATGAAATATAGCAGATGTCCTGCCTTTTAAATAAAATAACCAATCGCCGAAGCTCCAGTTTCTACAAAAAGTGTTCTGAGACTGGCGCTTAGGACTGCACATGCGCATTGGCTGGTCTAGCTTGTGAAAGAAGCTTTTTTGAACCCTATTTGAGCATAAGAAACAACATTTATGGCAATGTTCATTGCAAATATGGGCGCAGAGTGAACAGACTTTACTTTGAAAGGGATTTTGATGTGAACAGTTCTCTGGAATACTCAATTCTGACTGGCCAATTGCAGCACTGAGTGGTCAAATGTTTCTCTATGATGACCACTACATTTTATTTAACCAGTGTCTATGGCGCTACTGTGATCGTTTTTATGTCTCTTGGCTTCTCTAGCAACGCCAAAGTCATGGGTTTGATTCCAGGGGAGTCAGGGATTCAATGTAGTTGTTGCAAAATAAACCTCTTCAAGATGAAACAAGACTTCAGTAGAGAAAAATTTGTGATGATAACTTGCCAGATGACTAACTATTTCATTCTACAATAACATTACATTTTAAAATAAACAATAATACAATTTGTCATTAGTACCTCTCTTTCACTCCAGGTTCTTGTCTTATTTTGGGTCAGACTTGATGAATTCGGTTGTTAAAGTTTAACTAGAGACTCACTCTGACCAGATCATTGAAACAATCAATGAGTTGATGAATTGAGAATACAGTGCTTAGCATAAGTGAACACACCCATGCTAAAGTTGACTAAAAAGAGAAATAAAAAAAAATATTTGTTGGAAATTAATCTGACTAATTTGAAGTACTAAAATTACTAAAACTGAAATAAAGATATATTAAAGGTAAATAAATAAATATGATTTAAGGACATACCATAATTACTAAAACTAAAATGAAATTGACAACTGAAAATATAATATAATATAATATAGTATTCAAAAATACTATAGTGGTATATAAACAATACACAACACTTATAATAAATAGCCAGTTTTAGTAGCATTAGTAGTTACCTGATCACAGAAAATAACATCGAACTCCTCCCCACTAAAGAGCACAAGATAAAGAGCTAGGTAGATCATGCGCAGGTATGCACAGAGAGCGTGGAAATAGCCAAACACACTGGTGGGCAGCCAGTCGCCCACACACAACACAGGCAGGTCAGGCGAGAGAGTCTCAGAGAAGCAGTGCTGGGGGTCATAGTGTGCCGTCCAGATCTGAACAGTGCAGCCGCGAGATCGCAGAGCTACAGCTGCATCCACCACTAGACGCTCCGCTCCACCTATACCCAGATCAGGGTGCAGAAACACCACCCGAACCATCCTGTTCTGACCAGAACCTGTTGAGTCAAAAAGGTCAAATGACAGTTACACCTCATTTTTAAGCTCAACACAAAGCAACTAGATTTTCCAGTTACTCTTTTTCCACAAAACCTAGTAATTATATACATACACTTATATTTGCTTAGCTATTTAAATGACAACATTTCATAGGCATCTATTTTTTTTGTGTGTCAGTTTTAGCTCACTTCTGGGTACACATTTGTTCCCAAAGAATGGTTATAAAGTTACCATTGTTTTAATCAGATCAGATGATTAATCTAACTACATCTTTACCTAGATTGCATCAAGTATATTCTGTCTCTACGATGTTACAACAGTTCACTGGAACATCTGTCATGAACTCCAATATACCTTCTATTGTATATTACAGTCCAAGTGCGAAACGCCAATTCAAAGTTGGGAAAACATAAATATTTATTCTTATACAGTATGTCAAATACAGTAAGTGTAGACTCAGTACATACCCTGCTACATACTAAGTAGTGACAACATTGCACACAAAGCACATAAAACATCATATTTTCTTTACACACACTCAAATTGTATTCAGAGTAAAATGTTTAAAAACACTGAGACGAGAAAACGCGTACCTTTACCGTCAGGTGTCTGTATGAATGATCAAATATGGCTCAAAGTTCGCTATTTAGTGAAACTGGCTTCCTGATTGAGCCAAAATGTCTGCCCTACTGTGTACACATCATCAATTGCACGCGACACGTCACTGCACTCTGTACTACCGCCTTTGAGTTTTCACAAACATACATTTAGAAGCTAAGCTGCATTCTCTGATTTTAATTACCTTTATTATGGGCGGTTTTAACATTTTATATCAAATTAGGTTTACAAAAGAATCCAAATTGCGTCTAAAGTAACACGCAAGATCACAATTCCAGTCAGGCGCTCTACTGGCTCCTATGGGGGTCCTTTAGATGGCTGTCGTGGCCTTCTCAGCGAGACGTCATCAATAATCTTTCTCTTGTAGTTATCTGGATCGGCTGGAGTTCAGTTATAGAGACAGTCAATATATTCATCATTTTACCTGCAGTCTCCTGAAATATACACTATTAAACAAAATGGTAAGTTTCTTAATCCAGTTTTTTCTTATATATAGAGCTTTATATTAATTTTTTTGCGCGTATTAACAGTTATATCAGGATTGCTAGCTGTCTAGCCAGTCATGCTTTTTTCTAATAACTTAACGTTACCGTTATTTGGAATAGTCTACTCAGTTCTACCATTAATTGCTTAGTAGCTAATCGCATATGAGTTTCAATAACTAGCAGTGGGGGTTTGAATAGTATTAAGTCGTCAGCCAGGCGATTCAATGCAGTTTGTGGGTTGGTTTGCTCACTAGCTGGAATCAGCGCATTTGTTTGGGAGACGTGGCTCTCTTTTGGACCCCCACACCAGCTCTTCAGTCTAAATCTGGTCCACTCTTTTAGCATGGATACTTGTACTATTGAGTTTAGGTGGCATTATCTAACTATTATCTTGGATTGAACATCTAGTGATCTCTTTTAAAAATATATTATCATCCTCCCATAGATATATATTTTATCTTGGGATTTATAAGCCATTTAAGGTCTGCTGTTATTATTATAATTTATTGCAATAATATATATAACAGCATTATTAACTTATTGTTCTTATTGTAGCATGTTATTGCTTAAAGAATGATACACAAGTTTCTGTTCGTGCCAGAAGTCATATTAAGTCAATCACAGTGCATTTGGTTTACCAAGTCCTTTATTTTTCTGTCATCGCAGCCTGGACCCGCAGCTAGTGCAACAAATGTTGGTGCCTCCAGCCGTTCCCCGAGTAAGACCGTAGCCCCCCGCGCTGCTGGCACCTCAGCCAGACAGAGGTAAGAATGGATTGTTTATTAGAAAACTGTGATTTGATCAGCAGGACCTAAGTGATGTTGTTTATTCTGACCTCTATAACTGACAGTTGACACTCATTAGTCTCTATTTAATGTTTGTCCTGTGAATGTGACACCGTCAGGGTATGATTTAGTTGCTCACTGAACTGATAGTCAGGCTCTTATCTGTTGGTTGGCATTTTAATTTAATTTGAGTGTTTGATAATATCTGACTTTTTTATTTGTCTTATTGTTGATTCCTTTTAGGAAAGCCCCTAGCAGTGGCGCACGCAGCGGAGGCAGATCCACAGCATCAGCTGGCACAGGAGGGATGTGGCGCTTTTACACTGAGGACTCACCGGGACTTAAAGTGTGAGTACTCGTGCAGAGGGATTTAGAAACCCAAAGAGAAAGTAAAATATTAAATGTCATTTAAAAAAAAAATTAATACTTTTATTCAGGAAGGATGCATTACATTTATAAAAAGTAACAGTAAAGACATGTAGAATGTTACAAAATATTTGTATTTAAAATAAATGGCGCTCTTTTTAGCTTTTTATTCAAAGAACCGTGAAATGAGTACTATGAATTGTTATATTTCACACTATTACTGTATTTTTGATCAAATAAATGCAGCATTGTTGAACATAAGAGACTTTTTTTCAAAACCCCCCAATTTTTGAATGGGAGTTGTAGTGTATGTACATAAATAACATAGTTTGAAAATTACATTTATTTGTTCATTAGAAATGTTCATATAAATGGTGCTGTTAGTAACGTTACTATATATAATTCTTATTCAGTTGTTCAAATATATCCACAAGTTTCCTACGCCCCATGAGGCCTTGCGTCAAAAGTGGGCGCGACTTCCGGTTGGAAGTAAACAAAGCGCGACTTGACATGCTTAACACTCGTTCATTCAACAGTTGACAGTCATTCAAGTTATAGCGATCCAAACTAGCTAACGATGTGGGAACACAACCTCAACGAAATTAAAAAGGGTGAAATAACAGTACCTTTACCCTCCGCAGTAGTTGATTGGGAGTATTATAATAACATTATTAATTATCAATACTCATCAAGGCATGGTGACAGACAGATGTGCGAGCTGACAAACAATTCAAATAAAAAAATACACACTTAGTCATTGTGCTTTGGAGTTTATTCAAAATTATAAATGAATGTGCTGCTTGAATACATTACTGGCACATTTGGTATTCTGTCAACACAGGCTTTGATCCTGAGTTTAGGTGTAACATCAGTAGCGAACAGCCAATCACATGCTGATAGAGTTTATAAAATATAAAGAATTAAAAAAAATGTACACAGGAAGATTCGTCGTCTTTTGGGAGGTGATGGAAACTAACTTTACAGTCGTTGGCAGGATCAGAGACGGGCTCTGGCAGGATCACTCGTTTTCAGCTTATGTTCAAAACAATCACGTTTAAGCCACTGAATTAGTTTAGTCTGGTTATACATACAACCGCGAACAGCACATATTGTCCCTGAGCTCCGTAAAGACATCTCTCATAAAGATTTGCGTCTTTAAATAGTAAAATAATTCTCCGAAAAACAGCTAGCCTCTTCTCTAACTAACACACAAAATACCATTGGAATGCTACTTCCGTCGCGTCACCGGAAGTTTCACCCACTTTATTTTTTACAGGAGCGCCCCTCGGAAACTTGTGGATAACAGGCATGTATTTGAAAATAGACTGCAAAACGGGTATAATCAGCCAATTTAGATGTTGATATCAGTTTTTTTCTTATTACAAGATAATATTCGTAATTTTAATTTCCTTTTTAATTGCTAGATATTATGACTTTAAAAAAATCACAATAAAACCACAAGCTAGGAAATCACGCTAGACATTTTTATTGCTTAATTTAAGGACAAAATAAGAAAAGGTTATGATTTGAGGTACTTAATGTGCAGAGAACCAACACAGATGCTCATTTTTAATTCATCCCCTCAGCTCAACAGGAAGTGACACGAAAGGGACGGGCAGAGGGTTCTGAGAGGTTTAGCATTTATAAGGATAAACATGAAATTTTAACGACAGGAAATTGGCCTCATGGGCTCAACCTCCGCCTTTATTTGATGTCTTCCCTGCCGTTTCCCCTCCTACAGCTGTGTGCGCCTGTATTTACAGGCTCTCTCAATGAAACCAACTTCTGTTATAGTCTGTTCATCTACAGCAATTTCTCCTTTTTTTCATTTAAAGAGCGGTTCTCGATTTGTAACGTTACATCTGTTCATTCAATATGTAGGAATTATCCGAGCATGTCAGAATGGATTTGAGTGTGGTTACAGTGGCTGTATTTACAGTCAAGAGTCTCTTACAGTTAGAGAGTCTGGAGTTATGAGTGAAGTCTTTTTCACTCTTTAGGTTGTGTGTGTGTCTGTGTGTTTTGAGCTTAATTAAAGTTCCGTTGGAAAAGGTCACATCAATTAAAGCCTGAGGGGTGGGCCTTCTGTCGGCATGGTTACGCGGCTGCCTAGCGACTCAGGGGATGGTCAGTTCCTGCTTTAATAAAGCCCCACATTTTCCACCTAGCTCGTTAACAGTATCATACTCGCCAGCATTTAGAATCCTAATTACACCGTCTTCTATCACATGATTAAGACGAGCAGTCCCGATTGGCCCTCAGGGAGGAAGTTTGTGCCAAGCTTTATCTAAATTCCTCTCATATTCTAATCAAGGATCTTCTGAAATTGAGAATTAGTTACTGAGTTTAGTCTGTCTATCCTCCACTAGGGGTCCCTCTGTCTTACCAATTTTTTTTTTATGATCGTAATGAGATCTGGCAGTAATACCATCTATTTCTTTTCCCCCTTCTTGCAGTGGCCCAGTACCCGTTTTGGTGATGAGTCTGCTCTTTATCGCATCTGTATTCATGCTGCACATCTGGGGAAAGTACACACGCTCCTAAACCTGCATGACCTCTGGACCCTAAAGTCTGCCGCTGAATCTTAAGCCCTTGGACTTGGACCAAACTCTGACCATCAACACCTTTTCCTTCATTAAAACCTCCATTTCAAAGGGTTTTCACCCCCATTCAAGTTAACCCAGCCACTACAACCATTTGGCAATTTACAAACCCTCATCTTGCCCTCCCTCCACCAGATCAGGACATCTTTTTTTTGTTAATCCTTTGTACAAACTAATATGTAAAATTGTACAATAAAATGCTGTAAAACATTTGTCACTATTGTTTTTCTTTCATTTTCATTAAGGGAAAAAACCAGAGGGTCTGATTTGCATCACAGGGCATAATTAGCACATCTCCAGTCTGTGGGATAAAAAGTGGTTGTATGCAAATGTACATTCCAGACATGCCGTTACTGTGTGAGCTGTTTTGGTTCCACCAGTCTCTGAACTTGACGTAATAGGTGTGCCATTATTCCAATTCCATTGAGCTTGTAGTCATGTCCTATCAACACTAAATCAACTGTGCCTGTGCAAACACAAAATCTTGCCCTGCCAAGCTCACTAAATTATATAAAAAGGGAATAAAACTCAGAAATTCTTTATTTTAAAAAGGCACAACATGTGGCTTTGCTTTAAAATAGAAATTATACATTCCCAATCTGTTGTAAATGGGTAGATTATTTCAATCATTGAAATTATGGGTTTCTCAGCACCCCAGAAACCAGAAAATCTGTGCCTGAGCTCCTCATAAGATCTTTTCTGAAAGTGGGCAATTTAATTTGCAGCCTGTAATGGAACTGGGAATGAGTTGAAGCTGGATATAAATAAGGGCTTAGACTAAGCCAGAACTAGTTCTTAGTTCGATTAGGGCATTTATATAGCTTTTAGAAATGTGCCTTAAATTGTGACATATTTTAAGATATGTTGTGAAAGTCAGGGAAGGAGTTGTGGCCGATGCAAGAACTGTATGGAGGAAAGCCAAAGCAAGTGGCCAATAAAACTACCGATTTGTAGAACTATAAAATGCATGCAATTTGAATTCACGAGGGATTCCATATGGCTTATCTTTTGGCTGAAAGATATATGTGAATTAGCCTCAGTTTAACAGAAATCATCTTAATTTAAAAATAGACGAGCATCCCTTCCATTAGCAACACTTAGATGCATGTTTGTCAAAACATCTAAATTAAATGTTATATTTTTCAATATTTAATGACCTACAGGATTATTACACATCATTTAGGCATGTTAGGAATCAAAACAGGCCAGTTCATATCATTTACCTCAGTATTCCTTTGTTAAAGGAATATTTCACCCACAAATGAATATCCCTCAGAATTTCTATTCTCTAAGGATCAGAAGCGATTTAGCTGTTCATAGAAGCGAACGACAATCATAATCTTCACCCGACAGCATGAAATGATCCTTTAGGTGGCGCTGTGACCCACTCTAATAGGTTAAACAGCCTCTCCGTGTTTGTGTGTGCGAGTTTAAGTCTGTGATCTTCATTATTAATGTCCTAACTGAGAGTAAGGTTTCCCTCTGGTTCATTCTAATCCCAACAGCTAACAACACACTCAGAATTATTCAGTATCATCTTAAAAATGGATCCATATGGGCAAGGAGTGCATTTGAGTGTGTGTGTGAGAGAAATTGCATGGACTGTGTTTTAATTGTTGTCTACTGGGCTCTATGTGCTACTTTAGGCTGGCGATCCAGTGTTTATGACTAATGCATTAGCATACAGTAATTTCAATCGCTGCTCCAGTTACAAAAACAAAAAAAGAGTGATTATAAATGTATTTACCATATATTAAAATAATTTTTTAAATATATATACTTTTCATGTTTATGTGTCATATTTCGCACCATTAGTGTTTTTACGATATATATTAATTTTGACATGGATATGGGTCTATTTGCATATTCAATGACTAGAGGAAGTCACTGAAATTCACCCTGAATTTATTTGAAATTTGAAAACGTGTTTGGGTGAGCGTGTTCACACCTCGAGATTCAGTTTTTTTCTGTGCATTTTTTTGCTTTTTTTTTCTTGTAACCATTTCCTGACTTCTAACCACTGCCTGTGTCGAGGGACAGCCCCACTCACAGATATCACCAACAGCAGCTGCATGCAGAAGCTCATGCTATCAGTTTTTAAAGGCCACATGGCTCATTTTCTATGCAGATACTTCTTCCTTCTTTATTTCTCTCACATACACATATTACCAGACCTTTTCTTTCCTCAGAGGACACACAAACATTCACCCCTGTACTTCAATGATATCACTTTCAACACATTCTCTGTACGTTTTTTTTTTTAACTTAACTATAATCAAAATTACTTAGAATACAATTATTTTCGAGAGAAAGGGAGTGATGTGGAGGAAACCAGAAGTGGAGCGGATCAGTTTGGAAACCCCAGGTTGGCAGTCGCTAGTCAAGGTGGAAATGCAGGTTAAGCTCATTTTCAGAGGATGTGGTTCAGGAAAGGGTGCAGTTTGCCCCCGCCCCCTAAAAGCCGGTATGGTGGACCCTTCCACTTGGGGAAATTCTGTGTAATACTGAAACAAGAAAATTAGAGGAGTGGTCAGGTCTAAACGGGGTCCAAAATGCTTTGTGATCCGATGACTCAAACCGCATTGGAGGTGTAAACTCCCATTACGACATCGCATTTGTAGTGTAAATATTATGTGTTGTTGCTTAAAAGTCCTACTACTCAACTGTCAGTCATCCATTGTGCTAAACCTACGGTTTTGAATATTGAAAGATATAAAAATTTGGAAAAACACACATTCCTGAAATGGAACACCCAAGATGGATGATAATAGCAGGTGTAAACAGGCCAGGTCATGCTCGTCTAAATCTGGTCACTTTACACCCTTCAGTCAAAATAAAACACGATTCATACCATGGATATTTCAGTAGTTATTTGTAACTCTCGAATCAGCAACCCACATGTGTTCGCCCATTACAGCAGTATGTCATACTTATGATACATGTGAAATAAAAACTGACAAGTGCGGTTTGTCTTCTTGGAAGACAAATTTTGTGAGGACGATTTTGTAATAGCCCGGAGGTGATGACACGGTGGCATTTGCATAAGTAGAACAAGAGATACAGCAGTGGCAAGACACTCCTTGTCTGTGGGAAGTGAGCCACTGCATTCTTAAATCTTTTGTACACTTATCATGAATTTCATCTGTGCTAAAAAGAAATGCACTGTTCCTAAGAAATACATAATGATCTCACATAATGAGGTTTCCCTAAACATTCATGTGTCTGCTCACATAAAACATTTAGAATTTTTCAAAATGTTCAGAATGTCCTGTAACATCTGAAAATATTTTATTTTCTTCAAACTGTCACCAGGCTATATCTAAAATAACTAAATAACTTTAATTATTAAATATAAAACTTTTTTCTTTAAAATGATTTTCTAGAATGCTTGGCATGATGGTGATGACATCAAAATTGGTGACAGTGAATTATAATTTTAATGTACACATAATCGCTAAATGAAAATATGTCAAGGTTTTTTGGACAATAACATTTTGAAGTATGCTTTCCCTGATTTAAACACTTTTTGGAAAACTTCCAAAATCCAAAGACAGGGGGAAAAAAAAGATTCAACACCTGAGGTTAAGTGAGTAGACATTATAAAGTTTAAATTCATTACAGTGCTTACAGTGCTATAGCATCCTTTCAAAGAAGAAATGTTTTTTTTTCTTCATTAAAGTATTTTGTCTCTATTTTGTCCTCTTATTGAAGAATCGCCCATATAACAGAGACTTTGTGGTTATCACACCTTCACCTGTGGTTCAGACCAAATCTGTGATAAGTGTTTAAAGTCAAAAAGAAAGCTGATTGTTGGCCTCCATTAGTAATCTGTCTCTTTGATCTATATGCTTCTGATGTTTGGGTGTATTTCTGTTTCGGTCTCTGTCTCTGTCCATTTCTGCCTCGTGTATACCGTGTGTGTGTGTGTGTGTCTGGCAGTGTAACTGGGCGTATGGCTCAATGAGTTTGAGCCGTATATTGGAATTGCCTACTCTCCTCAGGGAGCCAGAGCGGACAACTGGTGTGGAATGGCGGGAGAAGAGCAGCAGCTTCAGGATGGCAGTGTGTGTGTGTGTGTAGGGATGCGTGCTAGTAGAGTGCCTGGTTTTAATGGATCATATGGTTGATAAAGCATGGAATGGAGAGACAGCCGCCATTGATCCTACACTATGGCTACACCAAGTTACTGAGGTCCTTAGAGACACACACTCTCACACACACACACTAGGAGCACTGAGTATATCATTGCTGACATTGCTTATATATAATGACAGAAATCTTTCTTCATTTTGACATTTTGATACATATTCAGTTCAGTGAGTCAGATGCTGATTGTCCGATTCAATAAAGTGAAGGACTCATGATACTGATTGAAACTGATAACTTCCACTCTTTTTAAACTAACTGACTGAACTATTTATTAAAAGAGCTGGCTCATAATATATATATATATATATATATATATATATATAGTAAAATATGTTCATTTAAAAAATCACTGTAAAAAATCAGTTGACTTAACTTAGTAAAGTGAGGAAATCCATTGCCTTAAAATAAATAAATATAATATAATATAAAATAAATAAACAAAGTAAATAATCTTTGTTATTTAACATAAACAGCTGTATGGGATGTTTATTGTAAATAAATACTATTATTACTATTACAATATTTATACTTAAAACTGTATGGGATGGCATGAAAGCCATGATGTCCCAGCAAAATACATACAGTATAATAGATCAATCTCTATTGATGGTTTTAATTCAAACATAGAGCTCGCAAAAACTCAACATTTTTTTTTTTTTTTTTACTTTTTACAAATGGGAAATTGTAAAAAAGTTACAGGGTGGCGATTTTATATGAATTACAATATGAGATAAATGATTTTTATTTACGTTTTAATGACGAACATGATTTTACAAATGCGCAGAGTGATCTGTTGTTTTGAGTGATTGTGCAGCCCCCTCTCAACCAACAATCAGTGCCCATTCTGTTATATCTATGTTTTACGAAATAAAAAGAGCCCTTTCCCTGATAGGATAATGGGTAAATTTCTAAAAGCCTGTGCAGATAATTATGTGACATTTTAACTTTCACTTTCCCAGCGTAAGGTCCCAACACTGTGGAAGGAATCTGTAGTTATACCTGTGGCCAAGAACAGATACCCAAAAGAGCTTAATGACCTTAGGCCTTTAGCCCTTGAGCGATTA